AGTGTAATATAGAGAGTAGAAAAATCATAACTGTCAACAGAATTAAAAGGACCATCAAAAGCATGTATTTTATCTAAAACCTCCAAAGAATTTTTAACACTCAAAAAATAATTAATACCATTATTTTCATAAGCTTTATTACAAAAGTTAATAACAAGTTCTTTGATAGTAGTAAGGGAGGTAGTTTGAAGCACTGATAGATTGGTAGTAGAACACTTATTAGATGCGGAGATGAAACGGAATTTAAATGGTTTTTTTTGTGCAATTTAGGTAACCAGTACATAGTAGGGACTTTCAAATGTTCGGAAGAGGCTTTAAGCTGGGTAGTGGCAGTGATATGCTTGTTTACAATTTGACTCTCTGTGGAGTGTACGGACCTGAATGTAGAAGAATTTATAATTTCGTTTTGAAGAACTCCCGTGTAGTATATGCGTCACACCACCACTACATTATTTGCTGCTTTGTCTGCCGGTACGAACACAAACCGCTTTGCGAGTACTTGGAGTTTATTTTTTATTCTAGAAATGGGAATATCATATACCCTATTACTATTTCAGAATTGTTTTCAAAATGAGATATACGAATATTAACAGTATTCATAATTTTATTCAAATAACTGTCTAGAGATTTTTTATCAGATTTTTCACGTTTACACCAATTTTTACAGTAGACAAACAGAGCTTCTTTAATGACCTGACGACACTGTTTCCAATCTATTTTAGATGGAGAACGATATTTCGGTCCTTTCTTAAGAAAAATTATGACCTCACGGTCTTCGACGATGTTGTGGTTCTCTTTAAGAACTATTTTAAACAGTAATATTGAGCATACATTGAATATATTAATGTTCCAAAGGGAAAAGTAGATTATGCATTAAATATTTGAAAACAAAAATTATGTTTGTTTACATTTTCATTTCTTTGAAATTTCGATGATAAATCTGCCTTTTGTAGTTTTGTAAAAACGGTGTACTTTTAAGCCTTGATTTTTCATGGATACTGATCATAATATTGGTGTCAGACCACCAATTACTCCCTCCAATTTAGAACGTATGTGAAAGTAGGCCTACTCGGACAAAAAATAGTGCATTTGATGTCATTGTTTACTTAAACTAACCAACAAATTGGCAGAAATGAAACTTTTGGTGAAAGACAAATATATTAAGACCATTTTGGGCCAAAATTTACTTGTCTATGAGTTTGCATTCAACATTGAGGATTAATGCACTCCATAGTATACTAAATTAACTAAAGATTTCCAGAAAACCAGAGGTTATTTTTAGTGGTACCTCTATTCGGGAGACCTCTTCTTTCTTATGTAATGGTGGTCACTTTGTTTACTTGTTATTTATTCTATTTATTAGGGGAAATTGGTTAATGTTAGTATTATTTATAGTTCCGTAACTCTTTCTTCCGAGACCGGCCATGTAATAATTCTTGTCGGGACTTCCTGCCACTTGCACGTGCCTGACATCCGGCCCGGCCGGACTCGTTGTCCCTAGGATCTATAAGTATGACGTCACTCACCGGGTTCAGGGCAGTCTACACTTAGGATTTGAAATGAGCAGACGCTCATACCGTCTGGCTTGCAAATATGGAACTTTACAATGACAAGTAGACTAGCCACCACCGTATATTTTATTATTCTTGTATGTAACTTAGGCCTAAAATAAAATGTTGTTTGTTTCCCCAATCCCGACCGACCCGGAAAAATCGCCGCAACCGGAATAATTTTATTGACGATTTTGTGTAGAAATTTTTTTTATCGAAATTCATGTGGTGGTGCGGTGCTCCTATGAAATGGAGGAGTCAAATACATAAAACATAAGAAGGAGACGCTGTTCTTCAAAGCGCCTTTATAATCGGCATAGTTGAAAACGCCTTGATGACGCGACTTGGCTTTCTTCTTCCACGTGGTCTCGGGTCTTTACGATATTCTCTAGATTGTTCATACACTTAAATGTCAGAACATGGACTCCGTTCTGTCGGTTTCTGTTGCCGTTTATTCGGCTGGAAACTTTAAGAAAGACTTGGTAACAAATGTGTTGCGCAGATTTTCGTAGATGGAAATATTTGAAAACATTTGTGAGGACGTGATAGCCGATTTAGAATTGACTGAAGAGGAGGAGGATGCTCTTGACAAAAAACACATCCGTGTATCCATTTCTGAAAAAAGTGGTTCTACAGAAATATTTAGTCCACACTACGGTGATGACATGAAACTGGCACTAGACTTTAATAAAGACTTTAAGTTTTTGAAATTTTGCATTGACATTGATGGGACCTTTACAGAAAAAGAAGCCTCCTCCTCAAATATTGTCAATACCTTTGACAAAAATTATGATGGGTGCCAGTCAAGCTGTCAACAAACTTCCTAAGCGAAAAGAAGAAGCTATTACTCAACAAGTTTACAGGTATGCATAATAAGTGACCGTCCCAATATCTATTTCTTGCAAGCAAAGGTAGACTTTTTTAGGATAAGGAGAGTGCCCCCACCTTTGTTTGCATTCTTTTTCTTGTTTTCTTGCAAATTTTCAAACCCTTAACCTAAATTCCCTAATGATTTCCTTATGCCCTTACTAATTTGACCCGAGGCCTGAAAGCAATTGATTTAAATTAATCATTTGGTCCCTAATAAAAGCAGACCACTCCACACTAGTCTCGTAAAAGCAGACAGCCCATACTTCTCTAAAAAGAAGGCTGCCACAATGGTAGCGTGCTCGCTTCGAGTACGGTGGCATTGATCCCCGACGGAGTCACTGAACCAAAGGCTTTAAAATTGGTATTTGCTGCTTTTCCGCCAAGCATGTAGTACTAGAGTTAGAGCAAAGACTGGTTTGCCGGGAATCAGAATAATGTGTCCGAGTAGGGCGACATGTCTTCCTGCAGACTGTTATCTTCAATGTGTGCTTGCACGTTAAAGATCATGTCTGACTATTAAAAAGCAGGCTTTTTCCATGGTCATTTCACACATACACTTCATGTCCATCGGCTGAATATATCCATTGAATTTATGCTGCCCGGGCATAAAACAGCAACATTGAATCACTGAATCAATATGAAGGAGGGGGGGATTGTAATTAGCCAGCCTGATGTTTATAGTCTTGTATATTTGTATGTTCTGCTAAGGGGGTAGCAATATGATTCACCGTTGTGTCGCAGTCCATCCGTGCATACTCCATCTCAATTTTTCGTAGCAATATATAATAACATGGTCTTGCATAGCATGATTTTGTGAACCAACTTTGAATGAAAGTTCCACATTTAACATACAATAAAATGTTCATACACTCAGTTGATTGTATTTTATATGCATGTTCCATTGAGTTATTCAGTGTTTGATATGGTTTCAATGTTTAAATCCTTCTTTCAGTGGAAAATTGCATACTTCAATGAACGGTATATAAACTTCATTCTAGTAGTACACTCTCTGACATTGAACTTGGACAGATTTCTGACAGATTATACTGCTTAATATAAACAGAAGGCTCAGTATTTTAGACATTTTATTCATTGAAAATTCCCAATATATATATACAAAGTACTTTTGGATATTATTTTTTATTTATTAAAGATCTATGTTGTTCTTTATTTCAGGTGATGCTCTTGAAGGCGTGGTGAATGTGCGCCTACAGAAAGACTGTAATACACATGTGGAATTTCCGTATTATGCCTCTACCCTGGCACAGCCTGATATCTGTGCCTTCTGTGCAGCTGTGGGGGCAACAAAGGACCAAGATGCCATTAAAACACATCGTATTGTTCTACCAGTTTGCAGAGACTGTGTCATTATTGGAAAATTACCACCCAAGAGAAACCCAATTAAATAAATTATTTCAAATTATACATAGAGTTTTATTTAATATATCTGACATGAAGAAACTGATAGCTTGATACACCCTAGAATTTAAAATACTGCCCTATAATGATGGTTAGTACCAAAAAAAAACAAAATTTCCCAAAAAAATAAAATAATTTACCTACCTACCTACCCACACCTGACTTGATAGGGTCGGGTTTGGGGAAACAAACAATTATTTATTTTTGGCCTTATATTCAACCATAACGAATGTCTCTTAATAAACATCTATATAAAAAAAAATGTCCTAAATTGTTATAAATGCACAGAAAGTTGTTTCTGTGGTGTTAAACATTAAAACATAGGTTGTTTACTACCCCCAAAAAAATGTTGTCATGAAGATTTAATGAAATTATTTGATTTTTACCCCTTATATCATTGCGTCATACCATGTATTTGGCAGATAGCATAGCCTAATGTAAACACTGCAGAAACTCACAAAAATACCATTTATTATTCCAAATGAAATTTTTATATCTTAAATTTTATTGACTGATGTAAATAAAAACAGTAAAATGACCATGACTGCACTTTTGATCAATTAGTAGTTCTTTACTGACACCAGGAGAAAAAAAGGGGGGTCAATATTCCTTGACACTTCAATACCTTGGATTTTTTACTAAACTCATTGCAAAAATTGTAGAAAGTCTTTAAAGCAGTAGAACAAACAAGGAAAAATCAACAAAAAGTGATCTTGATATTGAAAGTTTATGTTCCTGTAGCCCAAAATGAAATTTTCAAGTATCTTCTATCAAAGTCATACATTACAGTCAGTTTAAATTGAGCTGTGAAATTTTTAATATAAGTCGCATTATGCTCAGATAGGCTGTTTTTAATATCCAATGTTCAATATCCCAAAACTTGGGTAGACAACGGAGAACTTACGAAGCCAGTGGAAACTCCACTCACGTTACATTGGGGACTCGTCCGAGGGATATTTTAGGACAATAATACGTCAGATATTTTCTATTATGATGTCAAAATTTTATGGGAACTTTTGTGATGTCCAGTAATGGCGGACAAACAGCGATAAGGTGTATTGTTCGTCTTCTGATCATTTCCGCTGTTTGTGCCGGTCCGACAATGACCAGTACTGCATTCAATATAAGTTTTGTACAATAAGATAAGTAAAGGTGACTTACCTTCAGAAATTGAAATTAGAAATCCAGGAGAAAAATTCCAAATTGGAGCACAAGGTGAATATACACCTTATCGCTAATCCCGCTTGACCCGAGAATCAGTCCCGCTCGAACTTTTGACGTCATACAACAATCACTTTTCCATTGTGGCGTCAGATATTTTCTATTATGACGTCAAAATTTTACGGGAACTTGTGTGATGTCCAGTAATGGCGGACAAATAGCGATAAGGTGTATTTTGTTCACGTTCCAGAGGAAAAATGCAGTTCTTGCATAAAAGGAAAACAGACACACAATGTTTGTACTAATTTACACAACAGCAAAATTAAATATTTAACTGCATTTTATCGCAGGATAAAGCTTATTATGGCTTTTCAATTTTCAGGAAGTTGGCGATTTGTCACGCCATGTTTACAAAATGACGTCATATTTTCGACGTCAAAACACATGACTCCTAAGGAATGTGTGTATGGAGGTACCAATGGGGAATACTCATTGTCGTTCTAATAACGAAAAAAAAAACTGTTTTATTTCTTAGTTCCGTTTAATTGATACGTTTTTATATTTATAGTCATAATTGGATTTGGAAAGTCAAATTATTTGTTGGATTATACTTGAAATCATTTTGGATTATAAAGTACATTTTGTAATACACCTTATCGCTATTTGTCCCCCATTACTGGACATCACACAGGTTCCCGTAAAATTTTGACGTCACAATACAAAATATCTGACGCCACAAAGGAAAAGTGATTGTTGTATGACGTCAAAAGTTCAAGCGGGACAGATTCTCGGGTCTATGGCAAGCCAAAGTGGACAAAAAGAGCTATTTTCTAATATTAAAAAATGATTTTCTAATATTAAAAAATGATTTTCTAATATTAAAAAATGATTTTCTAATATTAGAAAAGGATTTTCTAATATAAGAAAAGGATTTTCTAATATTAGAAAAGCATTTTCTAATATTAAAAAAGGATTTTCTAATATTAAAAAATCATTTTCTAATATTAAAAAATCATTTTCTAATATTAAAAAATCATTTTCTAATATTGGAAAATACGCTACTTTTTAATAATAAAAAATGATTTTCTAATATTAAGAAATGAATTTTTAATATTAGAAAATCCTTTTTTAATATTAGAAAATCATTTTTTAATATTAAAAACAGCTCTTTTGTCCGCTTTGAATAGTGTTAAAGCGTCTGAATGAAAAGTAATACTTGGATAAAAAAATAGTTTCTCCCTTCTAACTTTAAGCGTTTTATGACGTCATTTAATATTTTAAGTACGTTGATAATAATATGGCGGATGCAATTCTCAGAGTTGTTCGAGAAGCCAGAGCAGTCCTTAATACTAGTAACGAACCAGCATCAACAGAAGACTTTGTGAGATCAACATCTCAAATTTTTCGACGGCCAGTCAACACAGGTGATACATCTACTGGAGAATCTTATAAATACTGTATGCCACAAATCACAGCCCCGTACTATTTCGTATTTACAGAAAGACGAACTTTGATAGCACTGCTAAAAAAAAGCATCCACTACATGAAAAGTAAAAAAAAACAACGTTTTCGTATATATGGTTAAAGCTTAATACAAAATAATCAACTGCATTTTTATTCTTCCGCGACGAGTTTGGAAATGTTGATTTACCCAGCCTTTCCAAAATGATTGTTGTATTTTCTCATTTTTAGCCTTTTTGTGGAGACGTTACAGTCGTGGTAGATTTTTTTCTTTTTCGGCGAAATTGTCAATAACTATCAACAGTATCTAGTGGGTGGGTGAGGGGTGTGACAGAATATAACAGTGTGTGACCATAAGTATTTGTCACTTGAAATTTTTCACCAATATTCCATATAAAACTTCCTTGATTTTTTCAAACACATATTTTGGGGTCATTTTTTGTTTTATTTTAAGCAACTGGGTACCAAAAGATGCAGAAATGTCACATTTGGTTGTGGATCATTATCATTTTCTCACGAGATGAACACAAATATTATTTTTCTGTTCAGAAATTTGCTTTATATTCAACCAATTTAAATTGTAAAATTTTATTGTATGTGTTCATATCAAGAAAAATTCGTAAGGGTTCCGCGGAACCCAGTGTCTCGCCTACTTTTTCTGTTAATCGCAGGCTCAACAAAAATGAGGAAGTAAATCAATAAAAATATTCCTCTTGATACTAATCTTTTGATTGTAAGAAGTTTCTGTCCAAGTTTGGTAAAAATCCAGGATAGTTTATGAATCTAATAAATGTTTAAAAACTTTATCTGCAGACTGAATGTAATGTTAACTTGAAGAAAACAAAATTTCCTTCTAGATACTAGCATTTGATCATAAACAAGCTTCTGTTAAAGTTTGGTGCAAATCCAAAATAGTATAAGAAAGTTATTAAAATTTAAAAAACTTTAACCACAGAGTGAATGTGTTGTTTCCTGACAGGAAATCTAAGTCCATTTAAAAGTAAAATACGGAAAAAATGGATTTATTATTTTACAAAATTTCCTTCTAGATACTAGCTTTTGATCATAAACAAGCTTCTGTCCAAGTTTGGTACAAATCCAAAATAGTATAAGAAAGTTATTAAAATTTTAAAAACTTTAACCACAGAGTGAATGTGTTGTTTCCTGGCAGAAAATCTAAGTCCATTTAAAAGTAAAATACGGAAAAAATGGATTTATTATTTTACAAATTTCCTTCTGGATACTATCTTATGATCATAAACAAGCTTCTGTCCAAGTTTGGTAGAAACCCAGGATAGTTTAAGAAAGTTATTAAAATTTTAAAAACTTTAACCACAGAGTGAATGTAATATTTACCGGCAGAAAAACTAAGTCCATTTATAAGTAAAATACGGAAAAATGGAATTTTATTTTTACAAAATTTACTTCTGGATACTATCTTATGATCATAAACAAGCTTCTGTCCAAGTTTGGTAGAAATCCAAGGTAGTTTAAGAAAGTTATTAAAATTTCAAAAACTTTAACCACAGAGTGAATATTTGTGGACGCCGCCGACGACGACGACGACGACGACGCCGACGGAATGTAGGATCGCTATGTCTCGCTTTTTCGACTAAAGTCGAAGGCTCGACAAAAATCAATAACACCGGAAAACAGAACTATAACCCAATAAACAAATATTCTTTAGACAATTCCGTCTTTTAACGCCTTGTTGATAAAAATCCAACCATAAATACCTTCAAAATATTCGAAAAAAAACGTGTCTTTATTTGAAATATATAGCAAAAAAATTCAGGTGACGATTTCTTTTGGCCATGTACTGTAAGTTCCCCCATAATATTTTTTTCCAAAGAACTTTTAACATCTAACAAGTTCCATTGGGAACAATCCTTATATATTTGATCCAATGCTATTAGAAAATTTCATTCACAAGGGATAAAATATAACATAAGGAAAGTTCCCAATGCAACTTTTGGTATATGCTCAAGTTTTTTGGAACAAATATTATGGACAATGTTTTATATAATAAAAGTTCCAGGAATGACACTTTCTTTAAAGAAATAAATATTATGAAACCATATGACGTTTTAGTTCCAGGAAGATACATAATGAAGGTGGAAATACATATTTATTATCCAGTTTTGTTCCAGGGGAAACAAGTATTATGCGGAACAAATATATATTCACAAGGGGTTACACTTTAGAATTCATTTTTTTTTTATTGTATATCTAAAAAAGGGGCATAACTCTAGAAAGGTTAAAGTGACTCCACCACAATTCAAACTTCATCTGTGTTTTGTGGTAATAAGCATTGTGTATAAGTTTCATAAGTTGAGGCAAACTTAAGTTAGAGAACGGAAACTAAAAATTTTGCAATTTTTCCATTTATAAAGGTGCATAACTCTAAAGCGGTTAAAGTGACGCCACCAAAATTCAAACTCGATCTGTGTTTTGTGGTAATAAGAACTATGTATAAGTTTCATAACATTTAGTTGAGGCAAACTTAAGTTAGAGAACGGAAACTAAAAATTTTCCAATTTTTCCATTTATAAAGGGGCATAACTGAAGAACGGTTACAGCGACGCAACCAAAATTCAAACTTGATCTGTGTTTTGTGGTAATAAGCATTGTGTACAAGTTTCATAACATTTGGTTGAGGAAAACTCAAGTTAGAGAACGGAAACCAATTTTGGGACGTATACGGACGGACGTACGTACGTACGTACGTACAGATGGACAAGGGTGAAACTTAATGCCCCCACCGCTACGGCGGGGGCATAAAAAGAAGATGTGGTATGATTGCCAATGAGACAACTCTCCACAAGAGACCAAATGACACAGAAATAAACAACTATAGGTCACCGTACGTTGTGCCTACATTCATCTGAATAAATAAAATATTAACAAATATGTAGATTAAAAAAGTCTAAAAAACGATGCATGTATATCATGTGATTCAGTGATAACATGTAGGTCATTGTGACTGTGTTGTACTATACAAGATGTCCGTAATGAATACAGATCATTTATATACAAGACATTATCATAAGTACCATACATGTCATACGTGTCTGATAAATGAACAAAATAAAAAACTAGAGGCTCTCAAGAGCCTGTGTCGCTCACCTGTATTTACTGATGCTTTGGAAATCATGTAAAATTAGGTTAAAATCATAATTAATAGTATTAGATATTAGATATTATAATGATATATAAGATAACAAAAAACTAAAATTCTGTAAAATTACTAACTCAGGGGCAGCAACCCAACAACGGGTTATCGGATTCGTCTGAAAATTTCAGGGCAGATAAATGTAAATCTGATGAACATTTTTGCCACCTGTCAGATTTGCTCTAAATGCTTTAGTTTCAGAGATATAAACCAAAAACTGCATTTTACCCCTAAGTTCTATTTTTAACAAAGTCGGCCATGATGGTTTGAAGGCGGGGCCAAGTATGGTTAAATTTGTCTCAGTAGTTTCAGAGAAGAAGGTTTTTGTAAAAGATTACAAAAATTTACGAAAAATTGTTAAAAATTGACTATAAAGAGCAATAACTCCTAAAGGGGTCGACTGACAATTTTGGTCATGACGACTTATTTGTAGATCTTACTTTGTTGAACATTATTGCTGTTTACAGTTTGTCTCTATCTATAATAATATTAAAGATAATAACCAAAAACTGCAAAATTTCCTTAAAATTACAAATTCAGGGGCAGCAACCCAACACCAGGTTTTCAGATTTGTCTGCAAATTTCAGGGCAGATAGATCTTGACCTGATAATCAGTTTTACCCTATGTCAGATTTACTCTAAATGCTTTGGTTTCAGATATACAAGCCAAAATCTACTTTTACCCCTATGTTCTATTTTTAGTCATGGCGGCCATCTTGGTTGGTTGGCGGGGTCATCGGACACATTTTTTTAAACTAGATACCCTAATGACGATTGTGGCCAAGTTTGGTTAAATTTGGCCCAGTGGTTTCAGAGAAGATTTTTGTAAAAAGCTAACGACGACGGACGCCAAGGCAAGCTAAAAAATGAAAACTTAATCAAAGTCTGACACTGAAGTATGACATGTAGGTCACAGCGACTCAAGTAATGCTGAACTGACTGTGTACTACTTTACACGATGCCTGTAGTGAATTTATATCATATTATATCATTGATATACATATATATTATAACAATAGGTTTAATTAAACGGAAACAATAACCTGATCTTTCGACGTATTCACGGGTCATAAAAATATTGTTCCATAATTTCCTTTAGATATGCATATATACAAAGCATGTCCTTCCTTCACTATAAATTTAACAAAACATCGTTTAGTCAATGATTTGTATAGTGATCCTTGGTTTGATATGAGTTCCACCAACAAGAAGAGAATTGAGGGGTTCGAAGGTCGTCTACTGAAAGGAAAATTTCTGTCCTATCCATTAAACCCCCATTTTCCAATGCATGGCGTTTCCAAATTTCAAGACCTTCGTCCTGGACGACCCCTATTACAGGACCTAGCTACCTGTTGTATTTATCGTAAATTTGTTTTTGTCCTGAACATGCATAAACTATTTGCCATTGGACGTTTAGCAATCAATCAATCAATCAATCAATCAACTAGCTTTCAGTAACTTCGAGTACTCTCAGATCTACGTGTAACGACCAATTATTCAAATTCCTAAGCAGGTAGGGATTTTACAGTACAGGATATAAGGAAATATATGAATTTCTTGAATTCTGTTCGATAGTATGAACAGAACAGAACTTCTGCATAAGACATCGACTGTGTGTGTATGTTTTTGTGTAGCCAGGGGACGGTGAAGGTTTCTTTTAAATGTAGGATCGTCAATATGTACTATCAATTGACGTACATATCAATTATCCTCAATCAGCTACGCTGATCCACGCTGGGCAATGCATATTGTAAATATTTTTTATATATATTTCCGATTGTACTGCCGGTTAATTCATCAGTCAGATGTAATTGTAAATTTTTTCATGCCGTATATTATCATGATAAACTTCGTAAGGGTTCCGCGGAACCCAGTGTCTCGCCTACTTTTGCTGTTAATCGCAGGCTTAACAAAAATAAGGAAAAAAAAATAATAAAAATATTCCTCTCTATACTATCTTTTGATTGTAAAAGTTCTGTTCAAGTTTGGTAAAAACCCAAGAAGGTTTATGAATCTAATAATTTTTTTAAAAACTTTAACTGCAGACTGTACGTAATGTTAACTGGAATAAAACTAAATCCATTTATAAGTAATACAAAGTTTAATTTTGGACCCTGATTTAGACCAACTTGAAAACTATTAATAATAAAAAATCTAAATACATGTTTAGATTCAGCATATCAAAGAACCCTAAGAATTCAATTTTTGTTAAAATGAAACTAAGTTAAATTTGAACCCTACACCTTTATGTAGACCAATTTGAAAACGGGACCAAATATTAAAAATTGAAATACACAGTTAGTTTCAGCATATCAAAGAACCCCAATAATTCAATTTTTCAAACAAAGTTTAATTTTAGACCCTTTGGACCTCAATGTGGACCAATTTAAAAAACGGGGCCCAAAATCCAAAAAATTAATACATGGTTAAGATTCAGCATATTAAAAAACCCAAGAATTCAATAATAAAACCCCATTGAAATTGGTCAAGAAATAAGCAATTTATACAAAGTATTAGAAAAGTATTGTTTTTGGACCATAATTCCTTAACAGTTAGGGCCATAACCCCTAAATCAATACCAACCTTCCATTTTGGTATGGAACCTTGTGGTACAATTTCAGAAAGTTCCATACACTTACACACAAGTTATTGTCTGGAAACTAGAATAAAATGCTCCGCTGGGGCGCAGCTTGATACGACCGCAGAGGTCGAACCCTGAACAGTTGGGGCAAGTATGGACACAACATTCAAGCTTGATACAGCACTGAATTTGGATTGTAATTAAATATTTGACACAGCATAGGTTTCTGACACAGAATGAATGTAGTCTAAGAACTTTAATTTTTTTAATTTACCTAGTATTCAAACCATATCATTATTATTTGCTTTTATATATAAATCAGATATAACCAATTTAAAATTGAAAATTTTAAAGAAAAAAAAAGGAAAAAAAAATCCCCCCTCCCCAAATTTTTTGAACCCCCTTATGATTCATCACCCCCAAACTCAATCCCAGCCTTCCCTTTGTGGTATGGTACCTTGCAGTACAATTTTAGAGAGATCCGTACACTTGAACACAAGTTATTGTCTGGAAACTAGAAAAATGCTTGTTTTTTTCCCCCTTTTTGGCCCCAAATTCCTAAACGTTTAGGGCAATTACCCCCAAACTCAAACCCAGCTTTCCCTTTGTGATATGGAACCTTGCATTACAATTTCATAAAGATCCATACACTTACACACAAGTTATTGTCCTGAAACTAGAAAAATGCTTGTTTTTTTGCCCCTTTATGGCCCCTAATTCCTAATTACCCCCAAAATCAATCCCAGCCTTCCCTTTGTGGTATGGTACCTTGCAGTACAATTTCAGAGAGATCCATACACATGAACACAAGTTATTGTCTGGAAACTAGAAAAATGCTTATTTTTGGCCCCTTTTTCCTAAACGTTTTTGGCAATTACCCCCAAACTCAATTCCAGCTTTCCCTTTGTGATATGGAACCTTGTAGTACAATTTCATAAAGATCCATACACTTACACACAAGTTATTGTCATGAACTAGAAAAATACTTGTTTTTTGCCCCTTTTTGGCCCCTAATTCCTAAAATTTGGAGGCAATTACCCCCAAAATCAATCCCCGCATTCCCTTTTGTGATATGGAACCTTGTGGTACAATGTCAGAGAGATCCATACACTTACACACAAGTTTTTGTCATAAAACTAGAAAAATGCTTGTTTTTGCCCCTTTTTGGCCCCTAATTCCTAAAATTTGGAGGCAATTACCCCCAAAATCAATCCCAGCATTCCCTTTGTGATATGGAACCTTGTGGTACAATGTCAGAGAGATCCATACACTTACACACAAGTTATTGTCTGGAAACTAGAAAAATGCTTGTTTTTTGCCCCTTTTTGGCCCCGAATTCCTAAAATTTGGAGGCAATTACCCCCAAAATCAATCCCAGCATTCCCTTTGTGATATGGAACCTTGTGTAACAATGTCAGAGAGATCCATACACTAACACACAAGTTATGTCTGGAAGTTACAAAATGCTTATTTTTGGCCCCTAATTCCTTAACTGTTGGTACCATAACCCCCAAAATCAATCCCCACCTTCCTTTTGTGGTATTGAACCTGATGGTAAAATTTCATAGAGATCCATTCACTTAAACTTAAGTTAGAGTGCGAAAAACAAATGTGTTTTTGGACGACGACGACGACGAAGTCATACCAATATACGACCACAAATTTTTTTTTGCGGTCGTATATAAATGCTTATTTGGACCCCTTTATAGGCCCTTAATCCCTAAACTGTTGGGACCATAACCCCCAAAATCAATCCCTACCATCCTTTTGTGGTTTCAAACCTTGTGTTTAAATTTCATAGAGATCCATTCACTTACACTAAAGACATTGTCCTGAAACTAAGTGACTACGGACGACAACAAGGTACCAATATTCGACCGCAAATTTTTTTTGTAGTCGTATAAAAATTAACTAAATCATAAAACTGAATCCTAAATGATTCATTACATTACCTATCTATCATAATCGGACAGATCAAATCGAAAATTATATTCATCCGATACTATGAGAATATTAAGCAGAGGGGTGATCGTTTCGAAATATTTACAGAATGACAAGGGCATTTCTAGGATATTTGAAAGAGGGGGCGTAGAATCAAATCTTTCGCCGAGCGGAGCGAGTATAAAAAATTTTTGGACCTTTTTTTTGCTAAAAAACATAAAATAATTGTGAAATGCATAAATTGCCATATTCAATACAATATTATCAGATAACGAGTTTTTTTTTTTTTTTTTTAAAGGGGGGGAGGGGCATACGTCCATTACGCCCTCACCTGGACCTGCCCCGGATAGATTTTAAATCGTTGTGGGATTTAGGATGAATGTTCTACTTAATGAAAACTGATATTTATATAACAATTAATAATAAATCACAAAACAATTTAAATTCAATCTATAAATACTTAGAAGCAAAAGGCCCTTTGCTTGAATTGTATTTTATTTCTTTTTTTTTAAATTAAATTTATTTCTTAAATGGCTATATTGGGGACACTGAAATAAAAATTCGTAAGGGTTCCGCGGAACCCAGTGTCTCGCCTACTTTTGGTGTTAATCGCAGGCTCAACAAAAATGAGGAAAAAAATTAATAAAAATATTCCCCTCTATACTATGTTTTGATTGTAAGTAGCTTCTGTCCAAGTTTGGTAAAAATCCAGGATAATTTATGAATCTAATAAATGTTTTAAAAACTTAAACTGCAGAATGTATGTAATGTTGACTGGAAGAAAAACTAAGTCCATTTATAAGTAAAATACAGAAAAAATGGAACAAAATTTTATCAAAATTTCCTTCTAGATACTAGCTTTTGATCATAAACAAGCTTCTGTCCAAGTGTGGTACAAATCCAGGATAGTTTAAGAAAGTTGTTAAAATTTTAAAAACTTTAACCACAGAGTGAATGTAATGTTAACTGGCAGAAAAACTAAGTCCATTTATAAGTAAAATACGGAAAAATGGAATTTTTTTTTTACAAAATTTACTTCTGGATACTATCTTTTGATCATAAACAAGCTTCTTTCCAAGTTTGGTATAAATCCAGGATAGTTTAAGAAAGTTATTAAAATTTCAAAAACTTTAACCACAGAGTGAATGTAATGTTTCCTGGCAGAAAAACTTAAGTCCATTTATAAGTAAAATACGGAAAAATGGATTTTTTTTTTTACAAAATTTACTTCTGGATACTATCTTATGATCATAAACAAGCTTCTTTCCAAGTTTGGTAGAAATCTAGGATAGTTTAAGAAAGTTATTGAAATTTTTAAAACTTTAACCACAGAGTGAATGTAATGTTAACTGGCAGAAAAACTAAGTCCACTTACAAGTAAAATACGGAAAAAATTGAATTTTTTTTTTACAAAATTTACTTTTGAATATAATCTTATGATCATAAACAAGCTTCTGTCCAAGTTTGGTAGAAATCCAGGATAGTTTAAGAAAGTTATTAAAATTTCAAAAACTTTAACCACAGAGTGAATATTTGTGGACGCCGCCGACGACGACGACGATGCCGACGGAATGTAGGATCGCTATGTCTCGCTTTTTCGACAAAAGTCGAAGGCTCGACAATAAATGGGTTCCATTTGCGTTTTCTACAAGGTTTTTACAATTAGCATACAACTACGACCAATCAAAAATACTTAAAATTTCTACTTTCACTTCAGCCAGCACTGCAAGGCCAAAAGGACGCCCTAAGAAAAGAAAATGGAGGGCATCACTATTCCTGCTGGATAGACCAGTTTCATTTCTGAAGGAGTTTAAGAAGCTCAAATTAAAACATGGATTTGGTAATTTTGTAGTCATAGAATTTTATGTCCAATTTGCACGTCATCACTGGCTAGCTTATATCCTTATCTAAAGTAAATAGTTCTAACAGGAACATATATATTGATTAGTTAGATATACTGTTCCCAGGTTCTAAGGATTTATATCTTTTTTAAAATGAATACCATATTATCAAAAGCTGTTTGAACAGGTCTATGAATAAACTAAATTTAAGCCAAAAAGTTACATTTGCATAACCCAGAGGGTACCAAAACACAATCAATTATTGTGGATATTTCTATTAGTATACAAATGAAAATGTAGTGTGATTACCTGATACCATTAAGACAACTCTTCACAAGAGACCAAATGACACAGATATTAACAACTATAGGTCCTCATACTGCCTTAAAGACAATGAGCAAAGCCCATATCGCATAGACAGCTATAAAAAGTCCTGTATGACAAGCGTAAAACAATTCAAACAGAAAAATAACAGCCTAATTTATGTACAAAAAAAAGTGAAAGAAAAACAAATATGTAACACAGCAACAAACAACCACTGAATTACAGGCTCTTGGCTTGGAACAGGCACATCCCAACAAAAACATGCATTCTGTGAGTATTGCATGGCAATACATAGTCCCCTACCTGCTAAAAATTCATTGTTATGGAACGAAATTCTAACTTGATCTATATTTTGTCATGGTGTAAACTACATAAAATAACAAACAAACCTACCACTAAATTCTTCGAACAATTTACTAAAGAAAAGGAAGAAAATCCAAACGTCATTTATCTAAATAGAATGTCTTTTACAAATCTTTTAAAAAATGAGTTACTTACCTTTGAACAGAAACCTAGTAATTAATAATAAGTATTTCATCAAAAATCTAATCTAGGGAAAGTTGAAAAAAATAAATTGCTTGTACAATTTCAGAGAGATCCATACACCTTTCCACAAGTTATTGTCTGAAAACTAGAAAAATGCTTATTCTGGCCCCTTTTTAGGCCCCTAATTCCTAAACTGTCAGGACCATAACCCCCAAAACCAATCCCAACCTTCCTTTTGTGGTTATAAACCTTGTGTTTAAATTTCATAGATTTCTATTAACTAATACTAAAGTTATTGTTTGGAAACCAAGTGTCTTCGGACGACGACAACAACTATACCAATATACGACCGCAAAAAATTTGACCTCAAAAAATTTTGGGCGGCCGTATAAAAATGAGTTTTTTCCCTTTCAACAGAAATCTGAAGCCACCAAAATTTAAACTTGAGATGTGTTTTGTGGTAATAAGCATTGTATATAAGTTTCATAACATTTGGTTGAGGCAAACTCAAGTTAGAGAACGGGAACCAATTTTGGGACGTATATACAGGCGGACAAGGGTAAAACTTAATGCCCCCACTGCTACACTCTAGAATACATTAAATCATCTTGTTAATTATAATATATTCCAATTCTTGAATAGGTCCACCTGCAGGAGGAGGAGAGGTTATGATTGACAGAGGCTGGACAATAGAAGAATTGAAAGCTTTTGTAATAACACGCTTCCCAAACCATCCTTTACACCTAGTTGACTTTAAGTTTGCTAGGTGTAAAAAAGGTTCCAGACAAGAAATGTACATTATCAGACCAACATCAGTAGCCGAGCTAGCCCGGGAAATAAAGGCAGGGAAAATATACATTATTCCCATGAAGCAACTGCCATATACAAAGGTATGAATCCCATCAACAAATGAAATTGCCTTATAATAATATAATCAAATAATTAAGAACCCCATGAGGAGTATCATTGATGAATAGTCATGGATAAACACAGAAAGACGAGGTCAGTTTCAGTTGTCATATCATTATGCTTATACTAAATATCCAAAATCACAGTTGTTACAAATCGTAAATAAAATTGTTCCTATTCGTATATCATGAAACTCTAAACAGTCAATTTGTGCAAATCCCCAATGCATTATCTTCACCAAACAACAGAATTAACCTGAAAATAAAAATAAAGATAAGATTTAAAACATTAGCAAGTTAAAATTCACAGGATAATAAATTATACCATATATGTTTATTAAAGGGGCACTATTCTTCTCGCCCTCTTTACATTACATACATGAATGAAGCTTTTCATGACGATTTTTATATGTATTGCCTCTTAGTTTGATAGATCATCATTACATGACAAAATTGAACTTATTTTCTTTTTTTGTCTCTTTCAGGATGACAATGATCCAGCCAACACTATTGTTGATGATGATGACTTACCAAGTCTGGTAAATGTTCAAAGCATCTATCTTTCAAATCTTTAAATGAAGGGACATCATCACATAATGTTAATCAAACATAAGAAGCCAACCATTTTTAACACCTGTCAATGTACTCTCTTGTTACTTGTAAGCCAAAAACAATGGCAAAGATAAATTTATCCCAATAGTATGTTTACAGAATGCAGCTTGAACAGGTCAAAGATACTTGTATAAAACTAGATATCACTGGAATCAGAATTTTTTCCAATTTATAATGAAATAAAAATAAAGTGTACTTTTAATATACTAACTAGAGGCTCTGAACAGCCTGTGTCGCTCACCTGATTCTACTTTGGTTTTGGAAATCATGTAAAAATAGATTAAAATCATAACAGTTACCCTAATAATGATTGAGGCCAAATTTGGTTTAATATTGGCCCCGTATTTTAATAAAAAATCTTGGGGGTATGGTCTTATGTTAAACTAAGTCCCCTGCTGGCGTCCATCTTGGATGATGGTTCAGCTACAAAAGTAACAACACTTAGTCAGCACCTCATTAGGAACATTCGTGCCATGTTTGGTTTCATTCCATTCAGTGGTTCTGTAGAAGAAAACATTTGTATGTATTGTCCATAGGGTCCAATGTTAAACAAAGTCCCCTGCTGGTGGCCATCTTTGATGATTGATCACCTACAAAGCTACAACACTTGGTCAACACCTCATAAAGAACATTCATGCCGTGTTTTATTTCATTCCATTTAGTTGTTTTCTTAAAGAAGACATTTGCATGTATTTCCCATAGGGTCCTATGTTAAACTTAGTCCCTCTCTGGCGGCCATCTTGGATGACTGATCTGCTTCAAAGAAACAACATTTGGTCAACACCTCATAAAGAACATTCATGCCGTGTTTTGTTTCTTTCCATTCAGTGGTTCTCTAAAAGAAGACATTTGTTTGTATTGTCCATAGGGTCCAATGTTAAACCAAGTCCCCTGCTGGCGGCCATCTTGGAAGATGGATCGGCTTCAAAGTAACAACACTTGGCCAGCACCTCATAAAAACATTCATGACATGTTTAGTTTCATTCCATTAAGTGGTTCTCTAAAAGAAGACATTTGTATGTATTGCCCCTTTTTGGCCCCAAATTCCTAAACATTTAGGGCAATTACCCCCAAACTCAAACCCAGTAATTGTTCAATTTGTTAATTAGGCAGACAGATGTCATTTGATAATTCAATTTTAATCCTTTAATTGTAATCTTTAATTAATTTACTATTCATATTTTAACTTTGTCATTTCATGTTATTGCTCGAATCAATTAGAAATTTACTTGTCACATTGAGCTCTTTTCAGTTTTGGTATAAATAGTTCGTAGAAATTTTGATACTTCACTAAGTCACAGTCACCGTTAAAGTAGGGAACCTTTAATATATGTACAAACTGACAGCAAAGTGCAAACTTCCTAGGATTCAAACTGTAGGAGGAGTTATTCGGAATAACTATATACCCATGATGGGACGGACCAAATGACGCACAGAGAGGGGTTAAACAATATAACCCCCCCCCCCCCCCTTTCCCCAACTTTTAGTTGCAGAGTCATAAAAATACAAGAGGCTGTCAAGAGTTACAGCAAATCGGATTTCCTGCAGAGGTCGAACCCTGCACAGTTGAGCAAGTAAAGACACTACATTTAAGCTTATAACAGCTCTGAATTTCGATTGTGATTGAATATTTGACACAGCATAGGTTTGTGACACAAAATGAATGTAATTAAAGAACTGAAAAATTAAGGATTTCTATTTATCTCCCACTTGACCAGAATTATTTATAAAATTTACAGAGAAGTGACAGTCCATATCGCCAGATAAGCGGCACAGACAATGAAAGTGACTCTATTTCAGTAGCAAAGGATGATAGTGATAGTGATATTCCTGCATGTTCTTCTACGATGTCTACTCTGGTAATTATATTTTTCAATTTAAGTTTAACTCTTGACAGATTTTTTATAATTCTATTTTTTTGTTCTATTGATAACAATTGAGGTACAGCAATAGGCAAATAAACTATATGAACATGAACTATACAGTCAATTACTGTATATTATAAATCAATATACGGTCAATGCAAATTGACTGCGAAATAGCACAGCTGAACTTTATAACCTTATAAGTAACCATGCCACATTTCATCCTTTTCCAAACTTAAGCATGCAGGAGAAGAAGAATTTTTTTTAATAAATGTATTTTTTGACATTTTCTAGTGTCCAAATTGCCATCGCACAGTAAATGAAGGTCAATGCATTCATTGTAGACAAGACCAAGAATATGAACAATCATTGGCAACAGACCGAGAAAGGGTATGTTTGGGTTATTTACAACAAGTGTAAAACATTATATGAACCCAAAAAATTTTTGCCGGTTGTATAAAAAAATTTGTAACGGTTTTGCGGAACCTAGTGTCTCGCCTACTTTTGCTGTTAATCGCAGGCTAAAATAAAATGCTCCGCAGGGCGCAGCTTGATACGACCGCAGAGGTCAAACCCTGAACAGTTGGGGCAAGTATGGACACAACATTCAAGCTTGATACAGCTCTGAATTTGGATTGTGATTAAATATTTGACACAGCATAGGTTTCTGACAGAATGAATGTGGTCTAAGAACTTAAAAATTTTAAATTGGACATTCACCTATTATGGTCTAATATCCAAAATCTAAATACATGGTTAGATTCAGCATATCAAAGAACCCCAAGAATTCAATTTTTGATGAAATCAAACAAAGTTTAATTTTGGACCCTTTTGACCTCAATGTGGACAAAGTTGATAATGGGGCCCAAAAATCAAAAATCTAAATACATGGTTAGATTCAGCATATCAAAGAACCCCATATATTCAATTTTTGTTGAAATCAAAGTTTAATTTTGGACCCCGATTTGGACCAACTTGAAAACTGGGCCCATAATCAAAAATCTAAATACATGTTTAGATTCAGCATATCAAAGAACCCTAAGAATTCAATTTTTGTAAAAAATCAAACTAAGTTTAATTTTGGACCCTTTGGACCTTAATGTAGACCAATTTGAAAACGGAACCAAAAATTAAGAATCTAAATACACAGCTAGATTCGGCATATCAAAGAACCCCAATAATTCAATTTTTGATGAAATCAAACAAAGTTTAATTTTGGACCCTTTGGACCTCAATGTGGACCAATTTAAAAACGGGGCCCAAAATCCAAAAACTTAATACACGGTTAGAATCAGCATATTTAAGAACCCCAAGAATTCAAGAATAAAACCCCATTGAAATTGGTCAAGAAATAAGCAAATTATACGAAGTATCTTCTTTTGCACAATACTGTGCAATTGAATATTTCTTGCAATTGCGCAATACTGTACAATTGACAATTTCTTGCTATTGCGCAATATTGTGCTATTGGATATTTCTTGCTATTGCACAATACTGTGCAATTGAAGATTTCTTGCTATTGCGCAATACTGTGCAATTGAAGATTTCTTGCTATTGTGCAATACTGTGCAATTGAAAATTTCTTGCTATTGCACAATACTTATTATATAATAATTTACACATCCTGTTTGGTGTGTATCTCCTACCATATCATTATTATTTGCTTTTAAATATAAAACAGAGAAATAACCAACTTAAAATGGAAAATTTTAAAAGAAAAAAAAAAGGAAAAAAAGAAAAAAAGGAAAAAAAAAAAAAAAAAATCCCCCCCCCCCCAAATTTTTTGAATCCCCTTATGATTCATCACCCCCAAACTCAATCCCAGCCTTCCCTTTGTGGTATGGTACCTTGCAGTACAATTTCAGAGAGATCCATACACTTGAACACAAGTTATTGTCTGGAAACTAGAAAAATGCTTATTTTTTGCCCCTTTTTTTGCCCCTTATTCCTAATATTTTGAGGCAATTACCCCCAAAATCAATCCCAGCATTCCCTGTGTGATATGGAACCTTGCAGTACAATTTCAGAGAGATCCATACACTTGAACACAAGTTATTGTCTGGAAACTAGAAAAATGCTTATTTTTGGCCCCTTTTTGGCCCCTTATTCCTAAACGTTTTGGGCAATTCCAGCTTTCCCTTTGTGATATGGAGCCTTGTAGTACAATTTCAGAAAGATCCATACACTTACACACAAGTTATTGTCATGAAACTAGAAAAATGCTTGTTTTTTGCCCCTTTTTTGGCCCCTAATTCCTAATATTTTGAGGCAATTACCCCCAAAATCAATCCCAGCATTCCCTGTGTGATATGGAACCTTGTGGAACAATGTCAGAGAGATCCATACACTAACACACAAGTTATGTCTGGAAGTTACAAAAATGCTTATTTTTGGCCCCTAATTCCTTAACTGTTGGTACCATAACCCCCAAAATCAATCTCAACCTTCCTTTTGTGGTATTGAACCTTATGGTGAAATTTCATAGAGATCCATTCACTTAAACTAAAGTTAGAGTGCGAAAACCAATGTGTCTTCGGACGACGACGCCAACGTCATACCAATATACCACCGCAAAAATTTTTTGCGGTCGTATAAAAAAATGAGGAAAAAAATTAATAAAAATATTCCTCTCTATACTATCTTTTGATTGTAAGTAGCTTCTGTCCAAGTTTGGTAAAAATCCAGGATAGTTTATGAATCTAATAAATGTTTTAAAAACTTAAACTGCAGACTGTATGTAATATGTTAACTGGAAGAAAATCTAAGTCTGTTTATATGTAAAATACGGAAAAAATGGAACATTAACAAAATTTCCTTCTAGATACTAGCTTTTAATTACAAACAAGCTTCTGTCCAAGTTTGGTAGAAATCCAGGATAGTTTAAGAAAGTTATTAAAATTTCAAAAACTTTAACCACAGAGTGAATGTAATGTTTCCTGGCAGAAAAACTTAGTCCATTTATAAGTAAAATACTGAAAAAATGGTATTTTTTACAAAATTTACTTTTGAATATTATCTTATGATCATAAACAAGCTTCTGTCCAAGTTTGGTAGAAATCCAGGATAGTTTAAAAAACTTACGGTATTAAAATTTCAAAAACTTTATTCACAGAGTGAATATTTCTGGACGACGACGACCTTTGGACCTTAATGTAGACAAATTTAAATAAAATGCTTCGCTGGGCGCAGCTTGATACGACCGCAGAGGTCGAACCCTGAACAGTTGGGGCAAGTATGGACACAACATTCAAGCTTGACACAGCTCTGAATTTGGATTGTGATTAAATATTTGACACAGCATAGGTCTCTGACACAGAAAGAATGTGGTCTAAGAACTTCAATTTTTTTAATTTACCTATTATGGTCCAATGTCCAAAATCAAAATACATGGTTAGATTCAGCATATCAAAGAACCCCATATATTCAATTTTTGTTGAAATCAAACAAAGTTAAATTTTGGACCCCAACTTGGACAAACTTGAAAACTGGTCCCATAATTAAAAATCTAAAAACACGGTTAGATTTGGCATATCAAAGAACCCCAATAATTCAATTTTTGATGAAATCAAACAATGTTTAATTTTGGACCCTTTTGAACTCAATATGAACCAATTTGATAGCGGGCCCACAAATAAAAAATCTAAATACATGGTAAGATTCAGCATATCAAAGAACCCAATATATTCAATTTTTGTTGAAATCAAACAAAGTTTAATTTTGGACCCCAATTTGGACCACTTGAAAACTGGGCAAAAAATCTAAAATCTAAATACATGTTTAGATTCAGCATATCAAAGAACCCCATATTTTCAATTTTTGTTGAAATCAAACAAAGTTTAATTTTGGACCCCAACTTGGACCAACTTGAAAACTGGGCCCATTATCAAAAATCTAAACACATGTTTAGATTCAGCATATCAAAGAACCCCAAGAATTCAATTTTTGTTAAAATCAAACTAAGTTTAATTTTGGACCCTTTTGACCTCAATGTGGACAAAGTTGATAACGGGGCCCAAAAATCAAAAATCTAAATACATGGTTAGATTCAGCATATCAAAGAACCCCATATATTCAATTTTTGTTGAAATCAAACAAAGTTTAATTTTGGACACTTTTGAACTCAATATGAACCAATTTGATAGCGGGGTCCACAAATAAATAATCTAAATACATGGTTAGATTCAGCATATCAAAGAACTCCATATATTCAATTTTTGTTGAAATCAAACAAAGTTTAATTTTGGACCCCAATTTGGACCAACTTGAAAACTGGGCCACAAATAAAAAATCTAAATACATGGTTAGATTCAGCATATCAAAGAACCCCATATATTCAATTTTCGATGAAATCAAACAAAGTCTAATTTTGGACCCTTTTGACCTCAATATGAACCAATTAGATAACGGGGGTCCACAAATAAAAAATCTAAATACATGGTTAGATTCAGCATATCAAAGAACCCCATATATTCAATTTTTGTTGAAATCAAACAAAGTTTAATTTTGGACCCCAATTTGGACCAACTTGAAAACTGGGCCAAAAATCAAAAATCTAAATACATGTTTAGATTCAGCATATCAAAGAACCTCATATATTCAATTTTTGCTAAAATCAAACAAAGTTTAATTTTGGACCCTTTGGACATTAATGTAGACCAATTTGAAAACTGGACCCAAAATTCAAAATCTAAATACACTGTTAGATTCGGCATAACAAATAAATAAATGTGATCAAAGATTTTACAAATCTAATGCGCCATACTGTGCAATTAAAGATTACTTCTTGAAATTTTTCAATATTTGAAATTTGAAAAAAAAATAATATTTGAAGAATAATTCTTTTTAATTTTGAAATCTGAAATGAGAAAAAATTGGCCCCCCACAATTTCTTTTTATCCCCCCCCCCCCCTTTTTCCCCCAAAAAAATTCTTTCCCTCAAGATATGGTCATAATCTCAATTCAAATTTCCAATGGAGTTGGCAACCATAATTACCCATTTAAATTTACCATAGTGCTAACTTAATCTATTTTATAATAGAATTAATAAAAATATAGTGTCAAATCTTTCATATGGATTTTTTTGTAAAAAAAAAAGATGAAAACATTTGCAGATATTTTTACTGGTCTTCCTTTATAAATATGCATTTCTTTAAACATAATTTAAAAGCAGTGTAAGGGAAGTAACCAAAACGTTGTATTTGGATTACCTCCCTTACACTGTTTTAGATTATCTTTATTGTTCATTAACCATTACTTTATACATAATTTAAAAGCAGTGTAAGGGAGATAATTTCAATACATAGTCCCCAACCAGTTAAAACTGTTTTTAATTAATTCATTAAAAAATTTGATTATACATTCAGGATAGAAGGTCAGAAGAAAGAACATCTGCAGTAAACAGACAGCAAGAGGAGGCAAGAAAAGAAGAGGATAGACTTCAAGAGGTAAATAAATTGCTAAAAAAAATTGGTGCATTGAACTATATTTATAACAGGTTATACACTAGTTCTCTGTAGTGAAACCAAATAATATACTAAGGGCTGTTCCAAAATAAATGTATGGGGGGGGGGGGGGGGGGGGGGGAGGAATGCATGCACTTTTATTTGACCCCACAATGCGTAATTTTGGATTAGACATTTCATTTAAATGTCTAGGCAATATACCCTAACCCTCCCCCCCCCCCCCCCCCCGGGTCCGCATCCTCCATACAATTAATTCTGGAAAAGCCCAATGTAATCTTGAAAATGTTTCTAAAGTAATGAGGTTTAAAAATAGAATAGTTTAATTTAATGGTTGCATGTCAAACAAACATGGGCATGTTGAGCGCATATATTTCTTTGTATTCCTGTGAAATAGCAAAAGGGTTCTAGGCCAACAGCAACCTACAATATTCAACCCTTTCTTATTCTTTTCTTTGTATACAATTTATATCAGTCAAGCAAGTGATACCTGTATTATGATCTCGACACATGGTCCAGTTGATAAACCCATTGCAATAGGAGGAATAAAAATATCATACTGCACATTTTTTCAGATAAGAAACAGGAGAAAAAACAGACTTCCAATAGAGCCCACAAGTGGCATTAAACTAAAATTCAGGACAAACTCAAGTTGGAATGATTTTACTCGATCATTTTTACCATCAGATGAAGTAAATGTAAGTTTAAAAGGTTTGTCAATGTAAAAATATTAACCTTTTATCATGTTTATTAAATACATGGGACCCTCCTCTTTCAATTGAAACATAAAAGGAAATTTAATATGACCCATTTTTTAACTCATCCGAGAGATCAAGGAAATAAAATAACTAGCTGGTGTTGCCCACCTTTATCTATCATATTTAAGAAAGGAAACTCTTGTACATTGTAAATGAGACGAGTATTCATGACAAATATCTGTTTTGTTGATCTTGTATATAATGCTGATTATAAGGATTGTTTAGTTTCTCTCGAACTACTTTAGTTTTTGCTGAAAACACGATTGCTTTAATTTATCGGTGGGAAGTAAAATTGAACATTGCATTGTATAAAGCATTTGTTGTAGTTGATTCAACTAACATTCTGGACAAAGAACGATAACTCCAATTTTCAAAGAAGATTTTCAAAATGACAAATTTATATTTTTAGAACAGCAATTTTTCCTTTTGTAAAAGGGCATAACTCTTGAACTTTAAAGGTGAAGCCACCAAAATTCAAACTTGACCTGTGTTTTGTGGTAATAAGCATTGTGTATAAGTTTCATAACATTAGGTAGAGGCAAACTAAAGTTAGAGAACAGAAACAAATTTTGGGACGTAAGTACGGACAAGGGTAAAACTTAATACCCCCTCCACTATGGCGGAAGCATTAATAGTCACAAAATACTACAAGAACAACTATTCTTTCATGTTTTTTTAAGGTATTGCTGAATTTTGTGGGAAGTCTGGATGAGGCAACTGAGCATTTTAGAATTACTTTTCCACAGTGTGAGCCAATCGAGTCAGTCTTTCAGAGCAGCACCATTTCTGACATGGGAATTATATCCAATACCTTGGGTAGAGTGACTTGGTTAACAGAAGTATGGATGATAATGTGTTATTTTCCTGTAGTTTACAATTGCTAATAATATAAATATATATATAGTCTGTTTGAGTACTTGAAAATCTTTAGGAATAAATTACTACAAATTCAATTTTGAATATCTAATAATTCATCAATCAAATTCAAAAATCAAATGTCAGTTTCAACTTAAATAAAAGAACAGAGTTCTAATGTCCACCACATTACACATATTTTATATTTCCAAGGGGCATAACTCTTTTAAAATAAACTGTTATCACAGAGATATGTCTCGCCTTTTGTAATTTTGATAATGCAAATGTTGAAATTAAAATAGCAATACTTTAACATGCAAGTTATGCAAATATTCAAAATCGATGAACCATGACTGAAGGTACATGGCTAAAAAATCTCCATGGAATGAGATGTGCCAATATGCTAATACAACTGCATACCAAATACCATTGACTTATTATAAGTCGTTCCCTTTGAACAAACCTAAACACAAACATTAACTTGTAAACTATGTAAAAGTTTCAAAGTCAATGAACCATGATCAGGGGTGGGGCTATATAATCTCCATGGAAACGATACTTCATACCAAATATCATTGACTTAACATTAGCAGTTCATCTTAAACTGATCTAATCACGAACTAATACATGTATGTAAACTAAGCAAAAGTTTCAAAGTCAATAGACCTTGACTGAGGGGTGGGGCCAAATAATCTCCATGGTAATGAGATGTGCCAATGCTAATACAACTGCATACCAAATATCATTGACCTACCACTATTGGTTCACCATGAACTAGACCTAATCACAAACTAATACATCGTTGACGCCACTACCACCGTCACCGGAATCAGCATACCTATGTCTCGCTTTTTGACTCCGTCAAGGCGAGACAAAAATGGGGAATGTGTCCATTGGACACAGATGATGCCCCCGCTTGCATATCATATAAAGTTATAAATGGACATAAAAAGCTTCACCGAGCGCAGCCTGATTTGACCTCAGAGATCAAACCCTGAACAGTTGGTGCAAGTTTGGACGCAATATTCAAGCTTGATACTGTCTGAACTTGGATTGTGATCATTTGAGAACTTACAATATAATTGGCATAAGTGAAATATCATAAATCATGAAATGAATTAATAAAATGAATTTTAACCTATCTATATTAATATTTATAGCCCAAAGTATCAACAACAGAACCTGTGACAATTAACAAGGAAAACAATACATTGGTAAGATTAATTAAGAATAACCTTGGTGCGACTTTTTACACCAATATACCTCAAACAAAAGGCTGTCAGAGTGACAGCAAACCAGATTTTCCTGCAGAGGTCAAACCCTGAACAGTTGAGCAAGTATGGACACTACATTTAAGCTTAAAACAGCTCTGAATTTGGATTGTGATTGAATATTTGACACAACATAGGTTTGTGACACAAAATGAATGTGGTCAAAGAACTGAAATATTTGAAATTGGACATTTAAATACATATTATGGTCCAACATCCAAAATCTAAGTATATATTACAATCAGCATACCAAAGAACCCCAAGAATTCAATTTTTGATGAAATCAGACAAAAGTTTAATTTAGGACCCTTTGGACCTCAATGTGGACCAATTTGATAAAGGAGCCCACAATCCAAAATCTCTCAATACATGGTTAGATTCAGCATTTCAAATAACCCCATAAATTCAATTTTTGTTGAATCAAACAAAGTTTATTTTAGGACTCTGATTTGGACCAACTTGAAAACTGGGCCCAAAAATCTAATATTTAAATACAGGTTTAGATTCAGCATTTGAAAGAACCCTATATATATTTCATTTATGTAGAAAATGAAACACAGGTTAATTTTATCCATAATATGTTCTGTGCAAAGGGAAATAACTCAAACTGGATAAATAGTTCTCTAAAATAAGATATGATGCAATTTTTCAAATTAATATAATAACAATAAAATGCTTCACTGAGCGCAGCCTGATATGACCGCAGTGGTCGAACCATGCACTTTTGGGGCAAATTTGGACACAATATTCAAGCTTGATACTATCTGAATTTGGATTGTGATCAAATTTTTGACCTAATATAGGTTTCTGACACCAAATAAATGTGGCCAAGATCTTACAAATCTAATGCGCAATACTGTGCAATTGAAGATTTCTTCTTGAAACTTTTCAAAAATTTGAAATTTTGTAAATTTTGAAAAAAATATGAACCCTTTTAAAAAATAAATTGCTTTTCCCCTAAAAAATTCTTTCCTTCTAGATATGGTCATAATCTCCATTCAAATTTCCAATGGAGTTTGCAACCATAATTACCCATTTAAATTTACCATAGTGCTAACTTAATCAATTTTATAATAGAATTTAAAATATGGTCAAATCTTTCATATGGATTTTTTTGTAAAAGATGCAACATATATGGTTTCAGGGTGGGGATCTTGACCATTTAAAAGTTTTCAAAAAGAATGTGGGTGGAAGTGACCCCCCTGGACTTTCCCTATATTTCATTTGATTTGTTTTATTGTCCCATACAAGAATATATATGGTTTAGGGGTGGGGATCTCATCTGTTTACAAGTTCTCAAACAGGAGGGGTGGGGGTGACCCCAGGGGACTCGCCTTTTATTTCATTTGATTTGTTTTATTGTCCAATACAAGAATATATATAGTTTTATGGTGGGGATTTTGACCGTTTACAAGTTTTCAAAAAGAAGGTGGGCGGGGTGACCCCCCCACCCCCCCTGGACTTCCCCTATATTTTATTTGATTTATTTTATTGTCCCATACAAGAATATATAAGGTTTAGGGGAGGGGATCTCGACCGTTTACAAGTTCTCAAACAGGAGGGGTGGGGATGACCCCAGGGACCTTGCCTTTTATTTCATTTGATTTGTTTTATAGTCCCATACAAGAATATATATGGTTTCAGGGTGGGGATCTTGACCGTTTACAAGTTTTCAATAAACTGCTTCGCTGAGCGCAGCTAGATACGCCCGCAGAGGTCCAACCCTGAACAGATGGGGCAAAAATGGACACAATATTCAGGCTTGATTCAGGTCTGAATTTGGATTATAAATAAATATTTGACATATTATAGGTTTCTGAATAAATGTAGTCAAAGAACTTGAAATTGGTTATATGAATTGAATTTATATTCAATTAAAGATTTCTTGCTGTTGTGCAATACTTAGTAAATCTGTTGTCAGACTATAAACAAATAAAGTTCAATTAATTCTCAATGTCATATTAGAAATTTATGAAAATAAAAAGGGAGCTTACATCAATAGATATAAACAATTCACCAAAGTTTCATGAGAATTGGTGACAGCATTTTTGAGTTATTGTCTGAAAACTGGAAAATCACCCCTTTTTTTAATGAATAAAACCCCACAACTCAGAAATGTAAAATGTAAAATTTATAAAATTCTAAAGGGAGCTTACATCAATACATACAAACAATTCACCAAAGTTTCATAAGAATTGCTGAAAGCATTTTTGAGTTTTTGTCCGAAAACTGGAAAATCCCCCCTTTTTTTATGAATAAAACACTGTAACTCGGAAACGTAAAATCTGAAATTTATAAAAATCAAAAGGGAGCTCATGTCAATAGATATAAACAATTCACCACAATTTCCTTTAAGTTGGTGAAAGCATGCTTGACTTATTGTCTGAAAACTGGAAAATCCCCCTTTTTTAATGAATAAAACCCCATAACTCGGAAACGTAAAATCTAAATTTTATAAAAAACGAAAGGGAGCTCACATCAATAGATTAAAACAATTCACCAAAGTTTAATGCAAATTGGTTAAAGCATTTTTGAGTTAATGTCCGACATGTTGACGATGGACAGACGGACTGACAGACGGACGGACAGACTGACGGACAACGGTATACCATAATACTTCCCATAAAGGGGCGTATAAAAAGAAGGGGGGTGGGGGTGAACCCGGGGACTTTTATTGTCCCATACAAGAATATATATGGTTTAGGGGTGGGGATCTCGACCGTTTACAAGATAAAAGCACATTCTCAAATTGAAGAGGGATGGGGGTAAGAATAGGGGAGACTTAATTATCTACAAAATGTCTAATAATGAACAGTAAATTTCAAACTTCATTTATACAGTCCTACTAATTAATTTCAAACTTTATATATAGAGTCCTACAGATCTTCTCAGGAAACAGAAAATTTTCAAATAAATCTGTCACTCCAATGATTATCATAACTACTGAACTATAAACTATGGTTTAACAAAGTACTCTGACATTACATATATAATAATTAATAATGTAATTAACTTCAAAATGTCTACTAATATAGCTTATAATCATCAACATGTAGGAAATAGAAAATTTTCAAAAATACATCTGTCACTCGAATTTTAATTTTGAGATCAGACATTTACTATGCTTAGTCATAATATGATAACAAGAGAAAAATATCTAAAAATACCACTTTTGGATATTAAACGCCTGCCCGCCGTACATCCCCAAAATGACTAACTGATATTTCCTTGAAAATCTGGTTAAAAATCTAAGCGACATATTTTGAATTAACAATACAGCGGAAGAAAAAAATTAGGCGGAAGAAAAAACAAAAAATTATTGTGAGATAAGACATTATGCTTAGTCATAATATGATAAGGAGAGAAAAATATTTTAAAATACCACATTTGGATATTCAAAATGGTGATAACTCAAAAAGGAGAAATACGAAAATCGTGAAAATTGAACTTGACCTTCATTTAGTCACAAGAAACAACATATCTAAATTTGAAATTTGCGGTCGTATAAAAATACAAACTTCCATGCATTCAATGCATTTCAGCACAGATTGTGTGTAAAGAGGACATCGAAATCAATTTTGTAATCGTATCTTCTGCATTTTATAACTAAAGAAAATAACAATTAATATGTTTTTATAGTTGTCTATTTGTCTACATCTTCGCTAGCCAAGGGTTACGATCCACTTCCCTCCTCTCCACCCTTGGCAGATTAAGCCAACATTTGTGATAACAATGTTGCGTCATCTATCGGTAGATTAAAGTCACGCCCATTCCAAATACATTATTCTTGACCAATGATAGCACTTGAACTCTTCAATTCTTTGATTGGATGCAGCGAGTTTAGACTCCAACCAATGAAAATCATTACCTTGTGTCTCCAAAATTCTATCTCAATCCGCCAAGGGTGGAGAGGAGGGAAGTGGATCGTAACCCTTGGCTAAACCTTATGTACGGATTTCGACTCTCACAGGGTTTTTTCAACTTTTACAAGTGCTTTTCAAACTTCCGGTTTAAACATACACAAGTTTCTAAATTGTTTTTTGTGTGATTTAGACTTATTTTAACCAGCATGAAGTGTTTTAGAACCATTTACAAGCAGTTTCAGCTTCCGTTTAGTGATGGAAAATAGGTTTTTCCAAGAAAATACCGCAAACGACCACACACGATTTTAAATTACCAGAGTTTCATTAGACCTTTTCTAACAGTTACAAAAAGTTTATTTACCTGAAATTTCATGGGGAGAAGGGGTTGTGTACTATGTACCAGTGCGAACTATACAAGCCCGATTACAGTATATTGTGGTAAAAATTCACGTCGGAATAACCTCACCCGAGATATTAATTAACTTGATCAATCATAGTACTTAGTTGATTTCGCAGGTTAATTTTTTTTGTAAACAAACTAAGATTGCAATGCAATCAGTGATTTTTATCGACAAATTTCTACTGGACCGCTGGACCACTAGCTGACAAAATGAACTGGTCTCGGACCACTGGACTAGCGCTAATTTCGACCGCTGCTTTCATGTCAAATTCAAATTGGTGGGGAATATTTTGAAATGCGATTATCGTAATGTCGTCTGTGTCACTATGTCAATTAGATTCTTTTTATTCATAAATAACAGGGCTTACGAAATTAACAAAATAGTTATATTAAATTAGATGATCTTAGAAGCCTGATCCTCTCGCCATGTTCTAATCAGTTATTAAAAAAGACATATACATAACATGGAGGCAATTCAGCCTTCAAAGATGAAAGTTAAAATAAGTACACACTGTTTAACGAATATTTCTGACTGCACATACCTGTATATACTAGATACTGAATAGTATTCCTATTTTCAAAATTCTTTTTTTGTAATAGACAGCTGATGATCCTACTCTTAGTCATCCTGGAACAAGCCATGACAGGCAAATTCGACCTCAAAGGAGAGCTGCCTCTGC